CTCGTTGAAATTTGACTTTCGAAAAATCCGTTTGCCAAAAATAAGCTTTTTACGTCAAGCAGTTTAAGCAGAATCGTGGTTAAGAAATTACACAACTTTTTGGAACACCCTGTATGATTTTTTAAAAAATTTCAAAATATGTAAAAAAAACAAATAAATTATGCTTGTCCAAGCGTTTTCCCGAAAGACTAACCGTTTTTTAAATAACAAATATTGTAATATTTGAGGGGCGTTTTCATCCTCTTGGAATTTGAGATTCGAGAAACCCCTCCTTATTGAACCCCTACATCCCACAGTCAATCCGTTTGACAAAAATCAGCTTTAAACGTCAAGCAGTTTAAGCAGAATCGTGATTACTCAATGGTCATATTTTATGAAACATCCTGTATAAATTTATAAAAAATCTTAAAATATGTAAAACAACAAAATAAAATATACGTGTTTAAGAGTTTTTCCGAAAAACTCATCGGTTTTTAAATAAAAAATATTTTAATATATGAGGGATAGTTTCACCCCCTTAGAATTCGAATTTCGAAAAATCCCTTCTTATCGAACCTCTACACCCTAAAGTCAATCTGTTTTCCAAAAATCAACTTTTTACGTCAAGCGCTTTAAGCAGGATCGTAATTAATCAATGACCAGATTTTTCGAAACACCCTGTATACATTTTTAAAAAGTCTTAAAATATGTAAAAAAACAAAATAAAATATACGTGTTAAAGCGTTTTTTTCGGAAACTAGCCCGTTTTTTAAATAAAAGATATTGTAATATTTGAGGGGTGGTTTCACTCTCTTAAAACTGGAATTTCGAAAAATCCCTTCTTATTGAACCTCTACACCCTAGAATCAACATGTATCCGAAAATTGAGCTTCTTACATTGAGTGGTTTGAGCAGGATCGTGATTAATCAGTATGTTAGTCACTTAAGGATTTTATACAGGGTTGTTCACCACATACGACACGGAGTATTGTAGCTAAACGATGAGATTTTTACAAATTGTAAGCTTGGCGTTCGTTGACGGACTATTAGAGCTACAATTTAAAAATATTTTTACAAGATACAGAGTGTCCCAAATAAATAAAAAATATCAAAGTTGTATTTTTTTAAATGGAACACCCTGTATATTATTACATTTTTAGTTTCTACGATTAAAATAAAGGTAAATTTGATTAAGGTTTATTATACTTAAACCTTACCGTTTTTGAAATATTTTCAATTTTGTGAAATTGCAGTAAAAATTTTAAATCTTCATTTCTCCAAGGGTATCAATGTTTTTAATACTAAATATTTAATGAAGTTTATTTATTAATCAGTTATTGTGTTGCAATAATAAAAATAATACTACTTTATACAGAGTGCCTAAAAATTTATCTTAAATAATTATTAGCTTCAAACGGCAATAACTTCTTTAATTTAAATGGAATGCCCTGTATATTTTACGAGAATCAGATGCACAATCAAATTGTCTATCAAGTTGTATTATACCTATATTTTTTACCTATCCCTTCAAGTTTTCGTAGAAAATGCATTTTCTTATAATTTAGACATCATTTATCAATATACCCATGGAATACTGACATTTTAGATGTTTTTAAAGCAACAAATGTACAAAATGTACAGACTAGTAATATTATCGTTTTTAGTAAAGCGATAATATTACTAGCCCATTTGTATGCAAAAAGAAAACTATTTAAATCTTTATAAAAGACTATACCATTAATTAAATATAACACCATTATTTCCGCCCATATACTAATTAATGACATACTTAATTGTGTTCGTTAATAAATTATTATAAATAAATGTGGATTTTTAGTCAGAAATCAATATAATAATAAATTATCAAATTAAAGTCTTTGTTGTTATAAATAAGCATTTATTAAAAAATGAAATATCATTTTTAAGGTGTTACTTTTTATCACACTTTCTAATGCCCATACAAAATTCAGTTTTTTAGTATTTGGAGCAATTATTATTAATCAACGCAAACAGTCAGTTAATGTAGTTTGAATACTGGAATCATATTAATTGGTCCTCTTTAACAAATATTTAAACAGTAATGAAATAAACGAATTATATCGACAATATTAGTATCTGTACTCTTTAAAAATTTGGTACATCTTTAAAAATAATCTAAAATGTCAATAGTCCATGGGTATATTGATAAATAAGTTCTAAATTACAAAAAAAATGCATTTTCTACGGAAACTTAAAGAGATTTTCCTTAAAGAGATAGGTAAAAAATGGTATAATATAATTTAATAGACAATTAAATTGTGCATCTGATTCTCGTAAAATATACAGGGTGTTCCATTTAAATTAAACAAGTTATTGCCGTTTGAAGCTAATAATTATTTAAAATAAATTTTTAGACACTCTGTATAAGGTAGTATTATTTTTATTATTGCAACACAATAACTGATCAGTAAATAAACTTCAGTAAATATTTAGTATTAAAAACTTTGATACCCTTGGAGAAATGAAGCCTTAAAATTTTTACTGCAATTTCACAAAATTGAAAGTATTTCAAAAACGGTAAGGTTTAAGTATAATAAATCTTAATCAAATTTACCTTTATTTTAATCGTAGAAACTAAAAATGTAATAATATACAGGGTGTTCCATTTAAAAAAATACATTTAATTTTATTAACTTTGATATTTTTTACTTATTTGGGACACTCTTTATCTTGTAAAATTATTTTTAAATTGTATCTCTAATAGTCCTTCATCGAGCCCAAAACTTACAATTTGTAACAATCTCATCGTTTAGCTACAAAACTCCGTGTCGTATGTGGTGAACAACCCTGTATATTAGTATAGATTTGATAGCCCTGTATAAATTTAAGGAACCAATACCATTTTTCAGTAAAGTTTATTTCTCTACCTTTAAACTCAGCATAAGAATTAATTCTGAGTAGTAATGTACAGGGTGTTAATAGTCTATTTTATTGTAGCATGCAAATTTAAATATCTCAAAAACTAAAGATTTTAAACATATTTAACCCTTATAATAAGTGCCTTCTTTTGGGCCCAGTAATCCAAAAATGAAATAAAATACCGGGTGTTCCATAAGAAAAAATATAACTTTGGTATGGATCTTAGTTCTGAAACACCCTGTATATTTCAAAATAATTTTAAATTGTACACATTGTCTCCCCACATATACCCCTAAAATATTTTGTTTCTAGATCTTTCCGTTTTCGTATAATCAACCGTTGACTTTCTGAAGGTTAACTATCTTAAATTGGAAATGGCCATAGCACATTGCAAGGATAAATTATGAGCGATAGACAAAGAAAATATTAGAATAGAGACCAAGAAATAATGCATTCAGAAACAGAGGCCGTTCACCAACCAAAAGGAAATATAAGCGATTAAAAAATGCATGTTTTTACTGCGAACGCGTCGTTTTCCTGTCATTATTTGATGACGTCGCGTGGTGGGTTCTAAAATCAAAGTTGACATAGACATTTCTTTAATAATAATGACATGTAACAGATGCCATTAGTATCCAGTGACGTCACAATGGTTCCAGCGCTTTTGTTTCTGTTTGAATTAGTTTGGCGAGGATTACAATATTTAGTATATTGCTCGGTATATTGGTTTTTTATACAAAAACACATAAATTAAGAACCTTATTATCTGAAAGCAAAATAACACTGAACTCTCGACTGAACTGCTACGGACTAGGACTGATATAAAATTGGAAGATAAAATGAATTTTAAGGCAGCTCAAAAAATATGTTCCATTGAAGTCCTTGAATTATTTAATACTGTTGCTGAGGGTGCAGGAACCAAGGAATAAATAAAATAACAATAAATTTAAGAATGGTGAACTTAGTTATATGTTCCTATTTGGAAGAAAATTTGGATTTAAAAAGAAGGTTATATATATGTATGGTATATATATTTATGGTATTGTGTGTTTTTTACGTATTTGGCGTAAATGGCTAATGATGATTAATAAGAAAATTAGAGAACATTTTATTTCAATAACTGTTACACACGCATCGAGCTGAACGATCATGCTCTGATTAATTTAATTATACATTTTCGAGAAAATCCAAACCTCACAGAGGATATGTTCCTTCCTTTGCTTTTTAGCAGTCAAAGCTGTGAGAAAATATTCCGAGCCACAAGGTCCATGACAACAACGCAATCTACGGTAGTAAATTATAGTATTAAAGACATACTGCAACGATTGGACAGAATTAGATCGATTAATAATATTACCCATGATTTAAGAGCTATAATACGTTTCCCAAGAGAGCAGAAAAGATTTGAAAGAGTTCGTTCTCAGGGCCAAAAGGATGCACAAATTGAAGCGCAGAGTGCAAATAATGAGGTGAAAGATATTGAAAATGTATTTACTGATCAATACATTGAGAATATTGTGATGGACTCTTTGCAGGAAGTACATGCTGTAACTGAAAAGCTGGGAATGCAAGTTGAAAATTTTTCATGGAACTCAACCACTATACCAAAAAATTCAGAAGAACAATCTGCAGTAAGTGATGAAACAATCTGCAGTAAGTGAAAACGAATTTGTCATTTATGATTCGCAAATAGCCGAAGAAAGTATTTTTGAAAATCAAGAGGAAGAGATAGATGATTTAAGAATAGGAATCGACCATACTAATGAGCAAACCAAACCAAACTCTTTTTTATCGAGTCGATTTTGGATGCTTTTTACAACTTTCTGTAAAGTTTGAAACTAATTACAAATTTCGTATGCTCAATAGTATCAGGAATTCCCCAAAAATATATATGGGATTTCCCAGGAGGTATTCAGTAATTCTTTAGCTATTAGGAGGTTCAGTGTACAGAATTTGGGTCAGCTGTTTACCCCTCGGGGGAACCCTACTCCATCTATCTAATATATTTTGAGCGTTACAATGTTTTCGCATTATTTGAAAATCTTTTAGCATCTTTGTTATTTTAAATAACATATTTTATTATTCCATTACTATAATTTATTATTTTCTTTCTAATAACTTAGGTACACCTTCTCCCATGGACTACATAATACCAAGCAATTTTGACATAGTTGTTACCAAGAAGCACATATCGTGGTTGGTAAGAAAATTATGGGTTTATTATAATATAAAATGTTTTTTTTAATTACTTATAAAAAAAGTTGTAGAGAATTCAATTCTCTACAATGTGCTCATATCCTTTTTGTCGAAAAAGACAAAGCAAATCGCAAAAAAACATAAAATCCAAGATGACGGACTGACGGACACTTCTCATATCAAGTATATGGGCAAGACTGTGAATTTGTCATCTACTTGTCTGTTGTATAAAAAAATGATTTGATCGTCTAATATTTTTCGGATGCTCAAATCGTATTTTTAATCATAACTCAAGTTTTTCAAATGGAACGAGGGTGGCTCATATATGGAAAAAGCATTTTCTGACAAATAATTTGGTACAACACACTTGCTATTTTGATTCAAATTGTCGTTAAATTGCCATATCATATATTTTCAGATAAAAAACAAATCTCGTTATTTTATCTGACAAAATAAAAAACTTATATGGGGGTAAACTTTTGAAAGACACCCGGTATAATAAATAAATATGAATGTCATTAACAAATATATTTTTATAGCACTTTTTGATATGGTAAAACCGAAAACTACTAATTACTTGTTAATTGAATGAGTTTTGAAAATGTTACATGTAATTTTATTGTTTTAGAAGAATAATCCAAACCTGGGTTTCGGAGATTTTCTAAAATTTTACAACAAAGACTTAAAAACTCTCTCTGAAAAGGTACTTTGATCTAGTTATTAAATGATTTGATTAAAATTTATAACCCATGTTTTTGCAGATATATCACCAAGAATGTTCAAGCGATTCTGGAGACACATATATCGTCAAAAAGAAAACTAATACTGTGTCAAACAGAAGAATAAAGATGGCTGAATCTAAAGTAAGTTTCATACTTATATTTTTCCTTTATGTAATAAATCTTAAAGTAGAAGAAATATACTACACTCACCGGCACGAAAAACGGACTCGCTTAAAATTTTGATGTATTTTAATAGAGTAAGATCGCAGAGTCTGACGTAACTTATTTTCACAAGGATGAAACCTTAGGACACAAACATAGTGAGGCATCTCGATGCGATGCTCGCCAAGACGCTGGCCGTGCTGCTCGCCAGGATGCTAGCCGCGATGCATCCTACGCGCACTGTTTTAAAACGGCGAGTAACTGCGCGTAGGATGCATCGCGACTATCGTACAAACATAGTGCGGGGCATTTCATCTCAACGCGATGCGCGCCATTCACCTCGCCATCCGGCGATGCTGAATCAAACATGTACAAATTAATGCGTCAAAACATACTGGAGCCTCGCACCTCGCCACGCACTTATATGTTTAGCGCGATCCTTCCTATTTGATTGGTCGGTTTAGAATCACAATAATTCGTTGAGCATATGTCGAACTAGAGTCGGGTGGAATAAAATGTTCACAATACTAATATTTAATTTTTCACCAACAATGTAATAACCTTGATTTTACAGGGTCCGGCAATAGTGCGTCGGGCATCTGCAACTCCTATAATAAAAAACTTAAGAATTTTGTAGTTCAGACATAAAGTATGTATTAGGATTTATTTGAGGAAAATATTTGAACTTCTAAAGGGTGGCTCAAAAAAGTGTGAGTAGATCGCGAATATTTTTTTTAAATGGAACACCTACATTTATACGGGGTGGCGCAACTCATTCACCTCGGTTGATTATACGAAAAAGGGAAATATGTAGAAACAAAATATTTTATGGGCATATGTTGGAAGACCATGTGCATAATTTAAAATTATTTTCAATTATATACAGGGTGAGTTTCCTACGATGTTCTCTATGGGTATGTCGCAAACTACTGGAGATAGAGAGTCGGTTAAATGGGGAAATAATTGCAGTTTTGTGGGGTCATAAATATGCGCCTTTCAGATTTTTGAAAAAGTTCATGGCTTACTAGATATTTCGAAAAAAACAAATTTCGGCTATTTTAAAAATTGTCCCTAACTCCATTATAAGATGTTTTAGACAAAAAGTTTTCAGATAAAAGTTGTAGATAATCACATCCTTAATGAGACTGTGTCCTCCGTTTTCTTCTAAAGCCTGTCATTTTTGACATATGACACAAACATATGTTTTTTTTAAATGGAAACCATAGTTGGCCATGACTTCATAAAAAGCGCCATTTTTTAAGCTTTTTAGCGATATAAGCTAAAATATGTTTTCTTCGAGAAATTACTGAGTTATAGCCAATTCTTATAACTTTTACACAATTTCACTTAGTTAGCCATGGAAACAAGTTCTCAACAACAAGAGTCTTTGCTCTCGGAAATGTGAAGCTGTCACATCCAAACTTTGTAAATTAAAATAAGTAAAATTTGTAAAAATGAATTTTTCAAATGCAAAAAAGCGTGTAGGATTATGGGTTCAACTTTTCTTGGCCATATATTATCGAGGATACGTTAACCGGTGAATGTTACGTTTTTTAGAGAACGTGTTTCAAGACATGTTAGAAAAGTTACATTTAGTTATAGCCAATTCTGATCTTTCTTGATTAATTTCAATTGGGTTGCATGGTATTCTTATTCTATTATGATTTATAAAACTTATAAGAAGTTAGAATATATTACTAAACGGTTCTTTACAATTTACACTACACAAACTAAAACTTAAAAAATAATATCACTGCATACACTTTAAGATATTTTAGAAAATACGCCATTGTTTTGAGTTGCATCTTTTTAAAACTGAATTACTACCTATTCTCATAGAAGGACCGGTGGACTTAATTAAACTTCTCTCGTACCGCCACTTCCAGTGCCTCTCTTAATTCACAAATTCTTTTGTAAACCTTATTGTTAACCATACCGCATAAAAAAAATCTAAAATGGATAGGTCAGGTAATCGAGGAGGCCCATGCAATTGGTCCATCTCTTTCTATTCCTGAGTTTGCATAATTTTGATGTAAATAATTTTTAACATTTCTTTTATTATGAGGGGGGATCGTAATAAAAGTCATGTCGGAACCACTCTATTGATGCGGGAGTATCTACACGCTTTTCTTCATTTGAAAAATTCATATTTATAATTTTTGTTTATTTTAATTTACAAAATTCGGATGTGACAGCTTCACATTTCTGAGAGCAAAGACGATTAAACTTGTTTCCATGGCTAACTAAGTGAAATTGTTTAAAAATGATAAGAATTGGCTATAACTCTGTACTTTTTCGAAGAAAGCATATTGTAGCTTATATCGCTGAAAAGCTTAAAAAATGGCGCTTTTTATGAAGTCATGGCCAACTATGGTTTCCATTTAAAAAAAAACATATGTTTGTATCATATGTCAAAAATGACAGGTTTTAGAATAAAATGGAGGGCACACTCTCACAAAGGATGTAATTATCTACAACTTTTATCTGAAAACTTTTTGTCTAAAATAGCTTATAACGGAGTTAGGGACAATTTTTAAAATAGCCAAAATTTGTTTTTTTTCGAAATCTAGTAAGCCATGAACTTTTTCAAAAATCTGAAAGGCGTATATTTATGACCCCACAAAACTGCAATTCTTTCCCCATTTAACCGACTCTCTATCTCGAGTAGTTTCCGAGATACCCATAGAGAACATCGTAGGAAACTCACCCTGTATAAATATTATAAATTATTTTCAAATTTGGATCCTTGGACACAAAATAAGGCATTTATTATAAGGGTTATTATATATTAATATGTTTACAAGCTTTGGTTTTTCAGATATTTAAAGATGTTTAAATATGCATGCTACAATGGAATAGATTATCAATACCCTGTACATTATTTTTTAGAATTAATTATTGTGCCAAGCTTAAAGATAGAGAAATTAACTTTACCGAAAAAATGTATTGCTCCCTTAAATTTATACAGGGGTACCAAAAATTGATGATTTATTTTACATAAAAACCTTGTTATTTCAAATAAGACAACCTGTATTTTTTAAAATAAATCGTAACAGATTCAAATGCTCTTTCAAACTATATTAGAGTATCCTATACCTATCTAGCTCAGATTTTGAATAAAGAGCAATTTTTCAATAAAATGGCAACAAAGAGGGCTGATGTCGTCATGGCAAGTTTCTAGTGACAGTAGCTATTTTCAAAATCGAAATTAGTTTATGGACTTTATTTATTTATAGCAAGTACTTTAATCGCTAGTTGATTAAAAAAAAGTATACCATTAATATGGCAAATTATATGTTATCCTCTCATAGTATAATATGTCTTTTTAATTTTTGGATGATGTAACGAGCACTTTGTTTACTCACTTGTTTTGTCGAACTGCTTGAATCCATTTTTGCTTTTGATCAAATCGGTGTGAGAAACTATAAAGCTATAAAATTTTGTTTCGGGAGAGTTGAATATCCGGGAAAGTTGAGTTATTGAATGTAATTGCACCCAACAACGCCCTAATTACGCTCTCCTTTACGCGTTAACATTTTTTCGGCAATTTTATTAACATTTGAAATTGTCACAACACAGCACGACGCCTGTTCGAATTCTTTTTCATTTATTTTTTACTACCCGAAACATCGTTACATCACACAAACCTCGTACCTGAGTGGTTTATCTCTTTTTTGTCTCAATAACTGCAATAGCAAAAAACTAAAATACTTAAATATTATAACTTTTGTTATAATATTTAAGTGGTTTTCCACGATTTCAATATTATTCTATGGGATCAACATAACGGCGCGCGGCGACGTGAAATAGATAGGGATAATTTCTGATTTTTGCCACTGAAGCGCTGCGGTAGGAATTTGTTGAAATCAATTGAAATGCACCAAACCTATACTAATTAATAACTACTATTACATAAACTGGTGCTTAATAAAACGGCGATGGTAAATGCTTCAGTATGCCTACGCGCACCTATTCGCCGTTTTAAAACAGTGCGCGTAGGATGCATCGCGTCTACCATCCTGGCGAGCAGCGCGGCCAGCATCTTGGCGAGCATCGCATCGAGATGCTACACTATGTTGGTGCCCTTAGGCTCTCAGTAGTGCTCTCATGTGCTTTGAATACCGGCGGCGGCGTGTTTGGGGAGTTCACCCTGTGACACGTTGGCAAAAACCAAACCAAACCAAACTTTGATATTTTTTATTTATTTGGGACACTAGCTTGTAAAAATATTTTTAAATTGTAGCTCTAATAGTCCTTCAACGAAGCCAAAACTTACAACTTACCTTACAACAAAAATCTAATCGTTTAGCTACCATACTCCGTGTCGTACGTGTTGAACAACCCTGTATAGTAAATGTCATATGTGTTTAAAAAAATAATGTTTGTAAACGTAAAAAATTGTACTCAAACAGGCAAAAAGCATTATCGTCAAAAATGTACATTTTATTTTATTTTAATTTTAAGTATGGAATTACTGGTTATTGACACCAAATATTAAACTGTTCTATTAATATTTTTTTTTCTCTTTGAAAATTATCATTGTTACATTACTAGAAAAAAACTGCCTGTAAATTCTAATTAAATATTTTATGTGGTAAAACAAATGTATTTCATTACTGAAAGATTTCAATTGTGATTTTCTTTAGTATAGGTATTTTTCATTAAAAAATAAAAGATTCTATTAATATATTTTTTTCTATTTGAAAATTATCATTGTTACATTACTAGAAAAAAACTGCCTGTAAATTCTAATTAAATATTTTATGTGGTAAAACAAATGTATTTCATTACTGAAAGATTTCAATTGTGATTTTCTTTGGTATAGGTATTTTTCATTAAAAAATAAAAGATTTCTGGGTGTTTTTGAATCATTTATTTGCCAACGCGACGTTTCGATTTTTTTTATGCAAATATTTTTCAAGGCATCTAAAATAATTTAAAAAAACATTACAATACGATTACAATTTTTTTTAAATATA